CTCTTCGTCAATTCAAACGATAGGAGGTACTTCCATCAATGCCCTTTTTGAATATTGGTCTGGTGGAGACTTTTAGCATTAAGCAGGATTTTTAAAGTTCTGGCTAAGGATAGATTCCATCCCTAGGTGGAATCCGGATGCAATCGTTTTCGATTCATCACGTCTCTATGGAACTCCAAGTTACTGGGTGCAACGGTTTTTCACCGAGTCAAGTGGAGCAACTCTTCTTGATACAACAATTCAAGCGAGTTCCTCCAGCTCACTTCTCGCCTCAGCTATAACATGGACTAATTCAGAGTATAAAAAAAGCTACATCGAGATCAAGGTCTGTGATAGGATGCAATGCGTTGATTTTGTGTAGTTGTGTTTGTGCTCTAATCCCAGTTAATATTCGACTTTTGGGGTCGATGGGTTTCCTTTTTTTCAGACGTGAGACCCTACTATAGTAGGAAATAAGAGCAGTGTGGCCCTCATAAAATAAATGCTGCAAGATTTACTTTGGTGTGTCTTATCCACATAAACGTGCACTATTTGGTTAGGTAACCTGGTAATTTCTTGCAGATTGTGAACTTTGGTAGCAGTTTGGTTAATCTAACAATTTCCATTAGCGGCCTGGATCAAAATTGGATACAAAAGTCTGGATCCTCAAAGATGGTATTGACATCTGCTAACTTGATGGACGAGAACTCCTTTTCTGAGCCGAACAAGGTCAGAACATCTCGTCTTTCCTATTTCCCTGATGATGTCTTATTTAACTTTGAACTTTAATGTGGACGTAATTTGTCATGCTGGCAAGTGTAAAAGGATGTGTTAGTTCATCCGAATTGATTTTCTGCAATTCAAGTTGGGAGATAGGATAAGAAGCACAATCAAGCGAATACAGGCTTAATGATATAGAGGGTATTTTCTCATCTCACCTTCCAATGTACAATTTTGGCCGATCCAAAGTCCACTCAAAAACGCCGGCAAAGAGATGGATGTTGTTATCTTGCCCTATTCCTTCACCTCCTTTGATTTGTTAAAAGAATCGACAAGCATCCGGATTGAGGGAGATGATCATTCTTCTAGATCTTCTATCTAATTTATATAACTGATGATTGTAATTATATGGAATAATCTCATAACTCAGATGTTGTCGCCCTCAATCCAAGTTATGTAGAGCTTGTGGTTGTAAAAATGTACTTCTTGCTTAGCTGCTGTTCGATGCTATAGAACAGTAGATTATATATTTTTTTTTTTTGGTAAGGACCCAGTAGATTATATTTCATATGCTGCTAAAGTTGTAATTCTCACCTTGTCAACTTGTCATGCATTATCCTTGTTTCGCTTGATTTGAGCTGCGCGAGAGACGCATGACTTTGGCCAATTCGTGTTGCAAGTGGGTTTTGATTGAGAAGTAGAATCCGTGTTATCAAAATACTTTCTTGTGATCTTCTATAGTATAGAACGAGTCGATCATCCACTTTTGAAGTGATATTTCATGGAACATAGCAGTGATAGTGTTCCTATGTCGATCAACGGTTTCCATTTTTTGAGAAGTATCGCGATCATGCAATAACGGTTCCAAAGTTTTGTCAAATGGGTCTCGGCCGAGGAACGATGTTCTCTGGCCTTGTTTAGGTTAGCTGAATTCGGCACAGTCCGTCCCTCTCCGGGTTTGGAGTGGAAGTTGTTTTAGACGACCAGACTCTCTCTTTAATTGGGAGAGATTATAAGTTTTGTTTACAGAACAAAATTTTGACCTTTTCTAGTCATTTTTTGTTTTTGGCCCTAAATTTTGCGATATTCTATATCATCCATAACTAATGTCTTCGGAATATGCTAATGCAATGCCCGATTGCCTCTCATTGTGGCAGGCTTGGATCACTAATTATTTAGGGGTTGACATTTTGATATTATCATATCCCAAATTTCGCATCTAATTCCATCATTTCCTTATAGTAATGCACATGTGTACCTTTCACATATATTATCTATTCATGTAAATATTGTAAATGTGAATTGAACCTTTCAATTAGAAATTGGACGGTTGGATCATTAAACAACATCATTCGATGATGTCCCAGGGGAGAATACCTAATACCTACCGTATAATAGCCGTGGATAGTTAAGCACCAACCTCCAACTAATCTTAATTAAGTATTACGCCGATTAAATTAGGCGGTTTTACGTCTTAAACAAACCAATTGGCCTTTGCAATTATTCATGTCCACACACCAACTACTACTCTGTCCTTTCTGTCCTTTCTGTCCTTCCTAACTCTAATGATGTTCGTTATGCCCTCTTCGCATAATGAGGCCGTGATTAGAAGTCCTTAACTTCGGATTAATTACGGAATCCCTCTAATTTCACATTCAAATTAGAGCTAACTCTTGGTGCTAGATTAAGTCGTTTTTAATCAAGGAAAACATGCTTTACACGTTCCTTCTCTCGTTCATTTCTAGGTTACGGTGGATGCTAATCGGGGGCGGGTTCACCGAGAGCAACTGCGGCAATAACAATTCTAAAAGTACAAAGACTAAATTTTGAGGATGATACATTAATCCCAACAACATGAATGGACAGTCTGTGTCTTCATGTCTGTCAGCCCCCCACTCCCTCATATCAATCGATGCAAAACGATTAAATTAGTTAATTCGCATCAGCCATTGATGCGAAATGCTAATCCGTCCACATCGGCTGTGCAACCAAGGAAATTGTTGTTGTCTTCTTCATCACCCACTTTCTAGTTCCATCGGGTGCATTTATGTCTTTTCATAGTCCGTATCGAGTTGGTTCCAGACATATAAAATTTATCGTTGACCATGTCAGATGAGATGGAAGTCGAAAAGTTGGATGGCTAATCCATGTACATTACGTTTTTTGGACTTAGGAGTATAGAGCATTGAATTCGTGTCTCGCATCTAATACGGACGGGTACTGTTTTCTTTGACCTACCAATCGACCCCAATAGGGTTAATACAAAATTTAATTGAGAAATCATAAAATGTTTTGTTAACAAACGACAGATGAGATACTTAGAAGTCTGGCCATTCACCTTACTTTTTTCGTAGTGGAGCCATAGCTTATCGGTCCATTTCTATTATTACTATTTGACTAGTATCATCATAATCATGTCAGTCAGCATAATTCATTTCTATGGTTGTCACCATCTCCATCTTCAATTAACTCTTATAGCTATTATCTTCGATTCCACTACTTTTAATGCGTATCCTAATCACCACAAATCGTGAGTCACTATAATCTCAACATCTTTATCGTCTAATTTTTCTCTACCAGAAATCGGTCCGTTTCCAATTTTCAAGACCCCCTTTTTTCCTTCCACGAAATCATAGATCCTTAAATAAGAATCAAAAGTTAACTTCTCGACATGGAATCTTATGGGGCCCAATTCCCTAAAAAATCTCAAACTTTAGCCTTTGTCCCAATTATATCCCAAACTTTTTTTTGTCTCATAAAAAACCCCAAACTTTTACTTTTGTCCCAAATCTACTAAGTTAACTTTTCGTCCAATTTTTAATATTATTTTTATTTTTTCGAATTTTTTATTTTTCTTTTCTTTTCTTTTCCTTTCCTTTTCTTTTTTTTTTGTTTGTTTCACCTTCGGGCCGGTCGCCGGTCCGGCGACCGGCCAGAGGTGGGGGCTGGCGAGGCTCGGCCCCGCCGACTGCTGTCGAGGCTCGGCCTCGCCGGCGTTGGGCGAGGCCGACCTCGCCAATAGCCGGCGAGGCCGAGCCTCGCCGTGGCCGGCGAGGCTCGACCTCGCCGGCTGCCGGTGAGCTCGGCCTCATCTGCTTCTGAGGGAGGCCGAGCCTCGCCGGCCGGCGGCGTGGCCGAGTTCTCGCCGGATCCGGCGAGGCTCGGCCCGCCGCAACCGGGCGAGGTCGGCCTCGCCCAAAGAATCTGCGAGGCTCGGCCGAGGCCGAACCTCGCCGTTGCTAGGCAAGGCCGACCTCGCCGTGATCTGGGCGAGAACTCTCGCCACGCCGGCCGGGGCGAGGCTCTACCTGCTGACGTTGGGCGAGGCCGACCTCGCACAATAGCCGGCAAGGCCGAGCCTCGCCGTGGCCGGCGAGGCTCGGCCCCCGCCGGCCGGGCGAGGTCGGCCTGCCCAAGAACTGCGAGGCCGAGCCTCCCGGCCAGCTGAGGCGGCTGGACCACCGACCGGCGACCGGCCGAAGGTGAAACAAAAAAGAAAGAAAAGGAAAGGAAAAAGAAAAGAAAAAAAAATAAAAAAAATTCGAAAAAATAAAAAATAATATTAACAAATTGGACGAAAAGTTAACTGAGTAGATTTGGGACAAAAGTAAAAGTTTTGGGTTTTTTATGAGACAAAAAAAAGTTTGGGATATAATTGGGACAAAGGTTAAAGTTTGGAGGTTTTTTAGGGAATTGGGCCAATCTTACGATGAGGGCCCCTCCCAAAGGAGAAAACTTTTCCTCAAACTAAGTGCACCATCTATCAAACACAAAAAGGCATGAACGCTACCGAAGTCTCAATAAATGAAGAAAAAAGAATAAAAAGGAAAGCCATGGAGTTTCATAAATCAAGAATTCCCACTAATATGCAATTAGGGATATTGATACAAGCAGTCCTGAACTTTGGCCTAATATCCAATTTAGTTCACGAACTTTTAATTTGTTTAATATGGCCCATGAATTTTAACTTAATGTTTAATGTGATCTCTGAACTTTTAATTTGTTCAATATGATCCCTTGACTTTCAGTACATGTTCAATAACTACATTGAATATTTTTATATTGTTTGAAAACTAAATTGAATGTGTACGAAAAGTTGAGGGACGACATTAAACAAATTAAAAATTCATAGATCACGTTACACACTGGGTGAAAATTCATAGGTCATATTGAACAAATTAAAAATTTACGAATTACGTTACACATCGAGTTAAAGTTCGGGGAACTATCCATGTCGTTTTCTCTGCCCATGTATAAGTAGGTAAATAATGATGAGGAGTTTCGATGTCAATCCTACCTTGGAAAAAAATATAAAGGTTAGTATGTTGGTGAGGAGGAGAGGAGGAAAGGATGCGTTTGGCATTCTCTCTCTCCCCGGTTGGCCACACGACGAAGACAAACAGCGACTGCCACCACCACCACTCTCCACCAGCTCCTCCCCTACCCAGTAACCACCACCACCTAAACCCTCTCCATTCCCCTTCTCCTTCTCCCCTTCTCTTTGTAGGCACAAGCACGTAGTCGTACACGGACAAAGGTCGCACCTTTCCTCTGTCTTCCTCTTCCTCCGCCTCTCCCCTCCAAGACCCAGATATGGATGACCCTGAAGACCCCTTGCATGGCGGCGGCGGCGGCGGCGATCCCCCCCTCCTCCGCCGCCACGCCCCCGCGGCCTCCTCCTCCCCCTCCCCGTCCCGCTTGGCTCGCCTGATCAGGACCCGCCACCGCTCCTTCCTCCTCGGGGACTGCGGCGACGGCGGCGGCGGCGGCGGGGGGGGCGGCGGAGGATCGCGGGGCGACATCGAGGAGGCGGCCTCGAGCTTCTTCGGGGAGGGGCTCGCCGCGTGCTCGAGGCCGATCGTGGTCCTCGACTTCGTGTGGAACCTGGCCTTCGTGGTGGTCGCGGTGGTCGTGCTACTGTCCGCGTTCAAGGAGAGGCCGTCCACTCCTCTGAGGCTGTGGCTCTGCGGGTACGCCCTGCAGTGTCTGTTCCACGTGGGGTTCGTGTGCGCTGAGTACCGGCGGAGGGACGGGGACGATGAGCTCGTGGGTGTGAGCGGGCTGTCGCGGTCGCCGAGTCGCAGCAGGTGAGGCCTCAATTCGAGTCTTCTGAGACGTTACGTTGGTGTATTGCCCGTGCTGTTGCTGTTCCGAGCTGAAATATTGAAGCTTTATGGGTTGTAAGGACTCGTTTAGTTGTTATTGTGGAGTCATTTTGAATCGATCAGTGAGTTTTTATGAGGTGATCGATCTATGTTGGTGATGGTAGTAGTTGGCTAAGGGACGTGTGATCACTAGGCATTAGTTCAGGGGGGGTAAAGGTAACATGATGGTGGCATTTGATTGTAAGATTAAGTACATTCACAAGGAAAGATGAAAGGGCATTGATGAATTGACCAGGAATTGCGAAGATGTGTATTTTAACTGCAGAGATGATTTTGACTGCTTTTGATTTTCAAACTGCAACATGTTGTGATTACCGTGGAAGAGAACCACAATGTCCCGTATCTTATGTGAATCATTGAAATAGTTCAAGAGACGACGGATTGGGTCATTTCTCGAATCTGACATGTGTTAGCAAAGCTCTGGTTTGCCCATGATAGTGATTGAGGAGGATAGGGGAGAATGTTTTTAGGAATTTGAGAGAAAGTCTACTGCTCATTCCAACAAGGTTCTCCTATTAATGTTTAAACTCTTGCACTTCTTTTAGAAGTTTTGAAGAAGCAAGCAAATGGAGAAACATTTTTAGGACAGGCTATTGTGTTAGGTCCTTTAATTATATTAGTAATCAGGACAAGTCTTGTAGTCGAAGATTTAATAGCTCAAGGCTGAGCTAAGTTCTTTACTTCACTTTTCTTAGTTATTCTTTTAAAGCATCATTCAAATTATATAGTAGTTATAATCTTAGATGTAAGAAAGGTACTGATTATTGAAGCAGTTCCTTGTGTTCCTTATCAATGTTTTACAGGATGCTTAAAAGATTGGAATCCTTGAATACGTTAATATCGTCGGTATGGTGGGTGTTTGGTTTCTATTGGATTGTTGTGGGTGGACAGCCACTTCTTCAAGATGCGCCACGTCTCTACTGGTGAGTGTCATTTCGTTACTGTGCATCTTGTCGCTCTCTTTCAGGATTGGAGTCCAGTTTTCTCTGCTTAGTGACACAATGATAGATAAGTCGATCGTTTTACATTCTTCCAGTCATGTTACTGTGGGAGCTGTTGAAACCAACCCGCTTTGGAAATCGTTTAAAGTATCGCCAATTACTTTCTGCTATATACTTTTTGATGGCCATGCACAGTTGTGTTTCTGTTCTCTTCCTTGGTTGGTGAAGTGTAACAAACATACATGAATCCTGATTTTGTTTATTGCTGGAATTAATTGCAGGTTGACAGTTGTTTTTCTTGCTTTTGATGTCTTCTTTGTGATCTTCTGCATTGGTATGGCTTTCGTGGTCTTCTTGGCTCTCTTTTGCTGCATCCCCATATTGGCAATTGCCTATGCTGTTGCAAGCACTGAAGGGGCATCCGAAGATATTATCAGGAGTCTTCCTAAGTATAGATACCGCCCAGCTAGTGTGCTTAGCACGTTCAACAATCTCGGGATGGAAGAAGTTCTTGGGGCAAGGTCAGGATTGGGAAACAATGGTTCAAGTGGTGAACTTTTTCTTCATTCAGAAGATTCAGTAAGCGTGCATATCTTTGGAACACCTTTTTCTCATGTACTTATGCTTATCTTCCTTGATTATGCTTTGCAAAAGTCCTACGGATGTCTGAGATCCAACAGAAGAGGAAGTTGCATTTGATGGAAGAGAGTTCTAAGTTTTGCCATTTTTTAAATGATTTTATAATCTTTAGACGTTCGTGATGTCAAATGATTACAGTTACTTTAGAAAGAATCTCCATGAGGTTTTTAATTACGGACTAGCACAAGGTGAGATATAGTCCAAGCTAAGTCTGCATGGACATTGATTCGCCAATACGATTGAAAAGGGTCCCTTGTGACTTTCTTAGGATTATGATATCTCATTACTAGTAGTAGCTTCACAAAAACCTCTGCGTGCCCAACTTATAAGCTTTCTATTGTGACTCGCAGGAATGCTGCATATGCCTCTCATCATATGTAGATGGGGCGGAGCTTTATACCCTTCCATGCAATCACCATTTCCATTGCTCATGCATCAGCAAGTGGCTCCTGATAAATGCAACTTGTCCCCTCTGCAAATTTAACATTCTCAAGGGAGACACGCTCGTCTGAACAGTCACCGAGACCATAAGAAGGAGACCGCATAGCTCCAGATTGGAACGGGAGAGAGGAATTTTAGCTTGCCATGCTCTTGCTGATACACTGACACTAATGGCAAATGCAAATGAAGGTGAAAAGACAGAATTGGGTTTTTCTCTTACAGCGATTCCTGTTTGTAGCTATTTATGTATGATCGGCACCAAATTTTGTAAATAGAATTCATGTAAGAGTTAATATCAGCCTTGATTTGCGATTTTGTGCTTTTCTGAGATGCTCTTGATTGATTCGTGACGGTATGATCTCAACATCCAAATGATGACGCCAACAACCTGATCCAAATGAAGTTATTCTCTAAGAATTTCCTGGCTAAGCAACCTCTTGGAAGTTAAGGACATTGAATCTTCTACTTGATGGATGTTGAGATCGAGCACTGAGTTTACGGCCCTGCAATTACGCAGGAATAAGAGCACGATAGAACGTATCCCTTCTTGTTTCATTACGTAAAGCATGATAAAACGATTGAGTGGACTAGTTTCATCGTTTAAATTTTTCATCGCTTCAACTGAGTCGCTCAAAAAGATGCTATGGACTCCATTCGCTACTTAATGCATATGTAGGCAAATAGAGGGCAAGAACCTGCAGTTGCAAAAAAATGAACCGGTAAAAGAAATTTGCACCTAAGGGCTCTTCATTGGTGTCCTCAAGGAATGAGACGCACGCGAGAACTGATGCTCTGGTATGCAATGCATCAAGGACAAATGACAGGGCGAAGATACACCCAGAACACTTTCAGTCCTAGAGCAAATTCGAACGGGAACCATAATCATAGAAACTCATCAGACGCTCAAGCATTGAGTATCAGAAGTAGTATTTTCTCATGAGGAAACTGAGTTTATGCAGGCCCTTATACTTATATACCTAGGCAGAATGAAATAGCATGTAAAAATGCCGAAAGTTAGAGAAAGACGGGTCTTTGTTCCCTCAAAGTCCTACGCATAGTTTTGCGAACTAGGCTGAGCACGAGAGGGTGCTGACCAAAAACTTAAGAGTCAAATCAAAAGGCGGTATTGTTGTGGCAACCTTCTATTTGCAAGAATTCTGGTGATTGCAGAAATCATCGTTCCTCATCAGTCTCTTAATCTATTATCAGCATATAAGCAATTACCAGTTAGAATGTCTGAGACTGAGACTGAATGTAGAGTAGTGAAGAGGTTCTCTGCAACTCTCAGTGGCAAGTTGGTGGTTCATTGGGTAAAGAAGGGCCAGAAAGCCCTGGCTGTGGAATCAATGGAGAGAGAGAGAGAGATGGGATTTCAACAACAGTATACAAGGGATAGGTCTAACTCAATTGACAATTGACGATAATTGCTTCCTAGTCTTTGGGTTATTACCTTTAGGTAATTTAGCGAATTCATGCTACCCTATGCCAATTTGATAGATACGTGTTTCAATCTGTCTCGTCGCAAGGGCAAACTTACTGATTACTCCATGATGTTGTTAACATTTCAACCTCATTCAAAACCAAAAATTTATCAGAGGATTTGAAGCATCACAGACCAGCAGAAATTAAAGATCACAAATGACTCGTGATCGCCAACCAGCAGGAGGGAGGTTGACAAACACCAATCACCCAAACTTTGAAGCCGAATTCTAAAACAGACAATGAAATTGTATTCCTCTAAATCTTTGCCTTACAGGAAGCAGTCAAATAAACATGAATCAGATTAATGAATACAAATCTCAGTCCAAAATGGCAAGTTCAAAAAAGGATGTCAGAACAAAACCTGCCAGGCAACTTGAGGTATGCAGCTCAGACATTCTTCATTTTCTTCACCTTCGAAGGCGGCCATCGGCCCTTCTTCCTCAGCCTTCGCTTCCTAACGAGCCGTTTCCTCCGGAGCCTTATCTTCTTCGCCAATTTCATCCTCAACTTCTGTTCCGCCTTCTCCTGCAGCTTCGACTCCAAGGGCATCTTGTCAACTGGGGCGGCCTCTTCCCTGTTCTGCGACGGAGCCTCGCCACCATCAGCCGGCCCTGCTCCCTCGGCATTGGAATCGGCCCTCACAATTAGCGAACCCCTTTTCTCATTCGGATAGCTAATCGCGCCGAAAGAATTCGGGGGCAGAGCGATTGGTTTGATGTGCAATCTGGAAGCTGAAATACAAGTTCAGAAATTGTCACGGAGCGCGAAAACACAACACAAGAAATGTCATTCTCCTTTCTTCCATACCCATATTAGAGTTGAATACGAGACACCCCCAAACAAACTACCAGGACGCAACTACTCATATCACACCGCCCTTCCGAAGGAAAACACGACACCAATATGAAGCGCACGAAAGAAAGCCCAAGGGAGAAATTCAAACGCACAAGAACAACATTATGCTCTTCACCTCATCTCACTTCTCTTGCACATGTTAGAACACCATCAAGGCCGAGTCTTTCTGCCATCTCTCAACACCCAACGAGAAACCCACGATTCGGTGCAACCAAACGAGAGGAAAAACTAAAAGACCCGCGAAAGAAATCAACACCTGCTTTCACGGCGAGAAACGGAGACGGCGAAGACGACGGCGAGAGCGGAGAGGGAGAAGGGGGAGAGAAAGCGACGACGGGACTGTAGCAGCAGAGCAGCGCCATTCTCTCTTATCTCTCTCGCTGTCTTACATATCACAGCACGAATCGACGAATGATGCCGCTCGCTCGGTGCGTTGTGGTGTTGGGGATAAGCAAAAGCGAAGAGAGCTTCCCGTCTGCGCTGAATTCCTCCGATTCAGTGGATAACGGGGGATGGCCAACGCACAACGAACGGATAGGATGTGTCGTGTCGGGGATGGGATGATACCTTCAGGTTGGGCCTGGGCTTGGTCCCGGCCCATCAGCTGAGGCTTCGGCCTTGTCCTATCTTGCGATGCGGGCCGGCCCGACTTAGATATGTGGTGTAGTCCACCCTCAGAAAAACGCAAAAAAAGAAAAAAAGAATAGAAGGACCTTTTGCTTCTACTTAATTTGCGGCAAACGGTTGTCACCGGGATTTTCTTTTCCCGACTGCGAAAAATGCGAAGGCTGTATTTGATTGTCTAGATTTCCAATCTGTTTGGTGAACCGCGATATTAAAATCGAATATTTTCACATCCTATCCTGTCCATTATTTGATAGGAACTACGTATCACTGCAGATGATTACTTTAGAAAATTTACATGTTAATTGTTAAAACGACGGTATAGATCGGGATACGTAAGAAAGGCTTTCGGGGTGGAGAAAGAAAAGAAATTAGAGTATGACTTTAAACTTTGTTCGTAACATTAGCAAATCGGGCAATCGGAACCAAATCACGAATTGTGTGCCGAAGAATCGTGACGAGATGCGGGCGTAAGCATGAAGTAGCCAACCAGGATCGCAAGGCCCAAGCGAAGCACGCAAAGCGCAGTCAAACTTGACGCTGACACATGGACGGTGACCGACGAATGATCGCGCGACACGCGGCGCTCACCGTCGCTAGGCCTTGAATCTATCTCCCTACCTCCCCTCTCCTCTGTGCATCGACGCCACGAAAAGTCAACACCGCTCCCCTGCCACCCCTGCCTATGCATTTGAAAATTTGCAAGGGCCACCCATAATTGGGCACGATTCAGACACCTTCAGGACCTATGGGCCTACACGGGGATTTTATTTCATTTTCAATGCTTAGCTAAAGTTTACGGCATCGATTTTATCTTTTTTTATCTTTTCATCCGTCTTGCTTTGACTCTCATCCCTTTGTTAGACTTTTACCTTGTCTCTTTACGGATCACGTAAATTGAACCCCACAAGTAAAATACCTAGGACACCACATGTTTCAAAAAAAAAAATCTTGTCTTTTACCCAATTAGAACATTAAAATAATGGATGGAAGGCTCCGATTTAATGGACTTACTCCGAGGGTCCACATTTCAAACACCATCACTGGAAAAGGGCACTCCGGTGTATGCATGATCATGTTCCTGCGAGACTGCTGTTTCAAAGTGGTTCACAGATGTTGTTGTTAAACATCGCCATGTGATAAGTGTAATGGGAACAATGAGGGTGGATTCTGGGTTTGAGAGGAAGAGCAAGGGAGGGAGATGGCATAGGGAACCATTGTTGCCGCCATCCCTAGTAGTGTTCTGCCTGGCTGAGATTGAGAAATCCAAGCACAAGTACAAGTCCAATACCATCTGATGCCAAAGTTTCGTTCTACTTCCTTGTGGAACCACCGTGGTCGGTGGCACCATTGATACCAATGGTGGTCGCTGCTCTGAGATGACCATCCTCTCTCTCTCTCTCTCTCTCTCTCTCTCTCTCTCTCTCTCTCTCTCTCTCTCTCTCTCTCTCTCTCTCTCTCTCTCTCTCTCTCTCTCTCTCTCAGTGCGTACGCGTGTGAGAAGCATCGCAACATGCGGGCACCTGATGGCTAACGATAGGGGTGAGCGGTTCCAGGTTCCACCTGGAACCTATCATCGGGTACAGGTTTCTCATTTTTTTGAATATGGAACTTACTCGTCGGAACCTGAAACCTGGAACCTACCTTATCATAAGTTCCAGGGTCTAACAAGTTTTTTTTTATTTCATCAAAACGAAAATGAACGCCACAATACTGAACAAACTTGTCATTCATCAAAAAGAATACAAAAGACTAGTTTTCCTGATATTACGGTTCAATAAATATAACTAAACTAAGAAGTCATTGTGTGAATCGATATTAGGGGTGAGCAGCTTCATGTTCCGTATAGGTTCACCAATGATAATAGGTTCCTCATTTTTTGGAATTTTGAACCTACCCTATCAAGATTTGATGGTCGGTTCTAAAGTCTACTCAGGTTCCACCTATCAATTGTAGTGAATCATCACCTTTAATGACCACCACTTACTGCTATGATCAATTAACCACAACTTATATTTACACACATGAAGAATATGAAACATTAACAAGTCATAAAATGAAAATTCAGACTAGTAGTTCCAGATAATACACTCATCATCTAACTCCATGAAACACAGAAAGATCACGCGAATATATAAACCAAGAAAAAACACAAAAAAACTTATTTAGGTTTCAGGTTCCAAGTTTCGCCTACCTAGAACTTAAAACCTACCCGTCAAAACAGGTTCCCCAATTTTTGGAACCTAAAACCTGCCTCGCATATATTTGAACTTGAAACCTATAGGTTCCTACTGGTAAGGTTTTATGGTTCCAGGTAGAACCTCGAACCGTGCCCACCCCTAGCTAACGATATTGGCCGTCAACTTACTCTACCAAGATCTAATCTAGGTGGAAGTTTTCCTATTGATCGAGATATAATTTAGGTGGATATTTTCACTCTTATGTCCTGGTGATACCACCTCCGAACGCTATTATAAGGACTTGCGATCGTAGTGGAATATTCGGGTGAAGTTATAAATTACTGAGAAAATTCCAAAAAGGGATCCAAAGTGGAGTTTTTTTCTCAAATAAGGGCCTGAAGTGAACATTGTCTCAAATAAGGACATGAAGTGGCCAAATCGTTTCAAATAAGGGCCTGAAGTGGCCAAATCGTCTCAAATAAGGACCTTTGGCCGGCTGGTGACTATTCCGTTACAGGAAAAGGGGTATTTTAGTCAAGAAAAATTATAAGTATATTTTTTTGATTTTGTTTTACTTTCTTTTTCTCTTCCTTTTCTTTACCTTTTTCTTTTTTTCTTTTTTTCTTCTTCCCTCCCTAGCCGTCACTGCGCCTGGCCGGCGACCTTCGCCGGCATCGGGCGAGGGCCACCCAACTCGCATCGGGCAAGGGTCGCCCTCATCGGCGTCGGGTGAGGGTCGCCTCCCTTAGGCTAGGCGAGTGAGGGCGAGGGTTGCCCTCGCCGGATCTAAGGAGGGTCGCCCTCGCCCGCCCAGCCCAAGTGAGGCGACCCTCACTTGACACCGGCGAGGGCAACCCTTGGCCTCGCCAGCCCAGGCAAGGGCGACCTCTGCCACCCCTGTCAATGGCCGGCAGAGGGAAGAGAGGAAACAAAAAAGAAAAGGAAAAGGAAAAAAAAAAGAAAATTCAAAAAAGTAAAAAGACGAAAATACCCTTTGGCCGATGAGGTCAGGTCCTTATTTGAGACTGATATGGCTATTTCAAGCCCTTATTTAAGACAAAATTCACTTTATACTATTATTTGAGAAAATGAGGGCACTTCCGGTCCTTATTTGAGACAATGTCTATTCTGGGTTCTTATTTGAGAAAATAACTCCATTTCGGGCTCCTTTTTGGAATTTTCCCTAAATTACTGTGCACCGTTCGAGAACTCAATAAAGTATTCTTGTGCTTGATCCTGTATCTAGCATTATAAAATTAGGATACAAGAAATCCAAAACATGTGTTATTCAACTCTACCTAACTTTTTTTTGGTAAGAAAAGGGGGCAGAGCCCGAAAATTACATTTTTGCTGTCCTAATAAACAACCCTATCCGGCTTTATTTCTTGACAACCAAATACAAACTCCTTCTGCACTATTTCCCATTGGGTTCCTCTCTTTAGCCTGTTTTTATATTGTGACAGTTTTCTATTGAGTGTTGCAACTGGTAACAATCATGATGAAATGATAAATTTAAATAAAATATTTTTTTTTTACACGAATAACGTCTTTCGTTATTACGATGCATGTTCGATCGAGCAAGTCGAAAATGATGTATACAGTCATGGCAATCACAAAATCGAGACGGGGATCCTTTTTCTTCTTTACGAGAACCAACCACCATTAACATTGAATTCGGATATTTTCAATGTACGAGCAAACCGATTACAAATCGAAAGGATCAAATTCATTTCTTGAATAGATGACACGTGATTAATCTTATAAAAAAGTCCAACGATCATGTCAGTTTGCAATTCAAATCACTGTGCTTCTTCCTCTAGCGGAGCCGATGTAGCATCAAGAAGAAAAGTCATCCCCTAAAAAATCCAAACCGAGCAAGATTAGCTATCAATCTTGAGAGCGACTTCCATTTGACCAATTCCTACCTCCCATCACCCAGCAAAACTCAGGGTGGATCCATGCCGCGTTGGGACCAATTATCCATTTTAATATCGTCTTTTCAGTCGTGTCCCACAAGCTAATTAGCTAGAATTGATCTATTAACTCCTCGGAGAATGAACTCACCATGCACCGCTACCAAAAGCTATGGGACGAAATTGAAAAAATTGAAAAATTGAGGATTGAACTGACATCTGTACAACAGATTCGGAATTGATCGTGTAATTTTCCCAATAATATCGTGACTTATTATCGATTTTGATCACGTCCTTTCAACCGTACCCTCCGAAACAACTAGCTAGAAGCCATTTTACTATACATCACTCCCTAAAGAAATGATTTATTAGACATGGCCACCAAAGCATGGCTTATTTTTTCAAATGCACGATCAGCACTTACATTCTCGTATATAAATACAAACTACAAAAGTAAAGTAAAGTAAAGTGATGGGAGAGACCGGAGTCAACCACGCTATCACCTAACCCCATGTACATGATCTTTTCATTATGACTTCTTGACTTGAGCGTACCCATGTACATTATCTCTCCTATTATTGTTTAGTTAATTGGGCCAATGTCTTCATGTGTCATAAGTTGGCTAATCAGATCAAATCCCATCGAAGCCTCTTTGCCCTGTTAATTGCTCTCCTTGAATGACCAGTTGGTCGCTGTAATGTTTACAGGGCAAGCTTAGCAAATTGCTGAGGTGAGAGCCGGATTTTGCGATGAATTTGCAAATAGTTTGCTTTTGCTAGATACGTTGGACTAGCGAAAAAGACCGATTCATCAACAAGAAAGAGAATTCAACTTGAGATTCGTTGATAATTAGACCTACCCTTTTCTCATGTTGTTGATGTTTAGCTTGCTCTTTACTTTGGGCGACTTAAAAATGCCGAAAATAGAGCTTTGGTAGAAAGTAAACCGTGCTTGTTAACTTAACAATGTTGCGTAATTGAAAGCGAGATCGAATTCTTTGGAAGAATAACTATCAAGATCCATCTCGAGATAACATCAAGAAATAATACCATTGCTCTAGAAACAGCCCATTATGAACAATAATGCAACTGATTTTATATGGAACAACGAGTGGAATTTCGCGGTCGTTCCTCAGTGACAAGTCCGGTATGGACCGGTCATTAGAACCCTTATCATCGAAGGTGCTGAATACAGGAAACGATGCCTATATGGAGAATTGAGTGCTGAGATTATATTTACTAAACTCAAATGATCTTCCCTACTAAATCATATGACTAATCACTCACCAATTACATATGCTGTGGCTATCCATACGAAGTCCTGAAATATATACGCTTTCTCCAGATGACATTAACATTCCATAATCTTCATTTCTAGCGCCCAACATATTATCAGCAGCCTAGTACATAGGATAAGGACAGAAAGTAAGAAACAAAAGCGCTATCGATCTTGATCAGATGAGTTTCCACGAGTCCAGAGTGGGAAAGCACGCATACGAGTCAAAGCCCAGCCCACCGGCGCCGCCCCCCTCTGCCACCGCCGCCGCCGGGAAACAGAGCGGGCCCTCGGCACCACCGCCTCCGACGCCACCGACCAAGAACGACGGCGGCGTGTCCAGATTCGGCAGCAGGCCTCCGCCGACGGGGAAACGGCAACCGGCCCTCTGCTGCGGCTGCGGCTCCGGCCTCGTCACCGGCGGGCCGAGGCCGTGGGGCCCGCCGAGCTTGACGCCGGTCACCTGCTGCACCATCCGGCGGAAGTTGGCCGCGTCCGCCGCGATGAACGTCGTCTGGGACCGGTTCGAGGACCGCGACTTGCGCTTCTTGCGGGAAGGGCCCGCTGCCCGGGGTCGCTTCCGCGCCGCCGTCTCCGGGTCGAAGCTCGAGGCGGGCGCCGTCGCTTCGGGGTCGAAGAAGAAGGCGCCCGCGCCCGGCGTCGCGGCGGCGAGCGCTTGGGGCTCGGAGAGGGATCGGAGGAGGGACTTGGTGAGGGCCTCGGCGTCGCGGGAGAGGACCCAGCCGGGGTCGACGGAGGGGGGCCGGAAGCCGGGGGCGTCGAGGCTCGCGATGGGGTCAGACGAAGACGCCATGTCTTCTTGCGTTTCTCTCTGGTCAGACTCGGAGCATGCGGGGAACAGATGTGAGAAAGAGAGAGAGAAAAGACTATCAGAGCATTTCCAAGAAGAGATACTGATCCGGGGATGGTGAGATGGGAGTGAAGAGAGTCAGGTAAGAAGAAGAAGAAGAAGAAGAAGAAGCAAGGTCTCTGGTTCTCTCTCTCTCTCTCGCTGTCATCAGAAGAAGAAGATGGAGAAGAAGAAGGAGATGATGATGCAGGAGATGGAGGAGAGAGGTTGGAGCTGTGACTTGTGACTTGCTGTGGAATTTAAACAGGAGACTCTGGAGAGAGAGAGGGGGAGCGATACGTGTCGCTTTCTTTGTCTGTGTTATTGTGTTATTTCTTTTTCTTTTTGGCAAAATTACATAATTCGACTTTTATATATAGTACAAAAAATTCCGAGCATGGAAATTCTTAGGGTCTGTTTAGTAAAGTTTCTGTTTATTTATTTTTTTGTTTTTTTGTTCTCCGGAATAGAAAAAAAATAGAAATCTGTTTAGTTAAAAAATCTATTTTTTTGTTTCTGAAACAAAAAAGTGTTCCTGAAATAAATTTGGAACAGAAACAATAAGCAAAAAAAATCTGCTTCTTCTTTCTGGAACAAGAAAAAAGAAACAATTTTTTTTTCTAGAACCCTCCAAAAACAAGAAACAATCCATCGGCCGCAACCCGCCTACCGTCGCCTCTCGCCGTCCTTCGCCGCCACCTACCACCCGCCTTCCGCCGCCGCCCGCTGACCAACGCCCGCCGGCCTCCTCCCGGTCGCCTCTTGTCATCGACCATTGTTCTACGCCGCTCGACGCTTGTCGCCACCCGCCACCGGCCGCCGTCCTCCACCGCTGGCCGCCGTGCTCCATCGCCCGACGCCGGCCGCCACCCGGCGCTAGCCGCCTCCCGCCAACCACCCGACGCCGGCGATCACCCACCATCGGTCGCCGTCCTTCGCCGCCGCCGGCCACCCACCACCGACCACCATCCTCCACCGTCAGCCATTGTGCTTCACCGCCCGACGCCGGCCACCACCCGGCGCTGGCTGCCCTCGGCCGCTGGCCACCTCCCGCCCCTGGCCACCCGATGCCAACAGTCACCCACCATCGGCCGCCATCCTTCGCCACCGGCCGCCATGCTCCATCGACCGACGATGGCCACCCTCCGCCACCAGCCACCTCCTGCCGCCGCCCCCCGTTGCTGTCACCGCCGCCCGACGCCACCGTGCTCCGCCGCTGACCGCCGTGCTCCACTGCCTCCCGCTGCCGGCCGCCATCCTCTACTGCCGCCGACCACCGTCCTCCGCCCCCCACCGCCACCCACCGTCCTCTGCCGGTAGCCAAGAAGGGAGAAACTCGTCCATGGAATAGAAATGGATCATTCGCGTCCTAAACGCGTTTCTATTCTTTTCTATTCCAGGAATAGAAATTTTGTGCAGTTACTAAACGCTATTTTTTGCTCAGAAACTGTTCCAAAAAATAGAAATAGAAAAAACAATTTCTGATCAGAAATTGTTTCTGGGAACAGAAACGTTGCTATGCAAATCCTTAGTATCAGCCTATTCAGATCCGATTCTTTGATACGTGATTACTTTATATAGCACACTCGGACGAAGAAGTTATGTGCGATTAAATAGACTTCACTGGATTGTACTCTTCTTTCACCCAACGTGTGTCGCTAGCGTTCTCTTCGAAATTTGTTATTGTTGCACTCAAGGCACATTATAAATGATGCGCCATTGACTTCATGAGTAGAGGCTTTTTTTTGGCAAATCAATGGTGAAATTTTTTATCGGAGGAAAGAAGAGCGCAATCTAGTGAAGTCTATTTAATCGCATGTGGAGCGAACACGGCGACCCATGCACCGATGTGAATTCCATATTAAAAATTCGATGTTTCCATCTCTCGGGACTATTCGTGATGAGTATTTCATTACGTACAGACTCTGTCGTTCTCCATCATCGATTTGAGAAAACTTCATTCTATCATTCTTTCCATTGGTGGATCACAAATATAAACCTCGCCCCCGATGTTACATTTTAGTTTAAGTGGACGATCCCGTCACGATTGACATCGCGGTTTTCGAATTTTATAGAAATATGATCTACAGAAATGGAATTGTCCTGTCCAAGCCCGATCAAACCTTACATTGATCCAAACGAATTCTTAAATCGACAAATAGTCGGTGAAGGTGAGACCCGCATAATTATTATTTCGTCCTTTCGTCTCGACCCCAATTATCTCCTCCCATTATTTAATCCTAACCCAAAGTGGGACGCTCGATAGTCAACATTGTCCTCCCCGTGGCATTAGTAAAAAATTTCTGGAAACTCCAAATTTTTTAAAAGGGTCTTTTTTTCTCATTACCCTTTTCGGAAAAAGAAAATGTTTTTTTCGGGAAAAGGCTCCTCCTCCCTCGAACTTAATGATCAAAATTCACAGTGCCACTTCGCACGCTTGGTCATATTATATGCGATGTAATTACTCCATAATGATGATTAATGCAGCGCGAATGGAATCTTACCTAAATTATTCCTGAGGGCTCCGGCGTTCCCGATTCATCCGGACAACTTGCTCGAGATTTCGAATTGAAAACTCAGGAAAGCCTTGCTGCCAAATTGGCAATAATAATGAGTCTGAGAGGTCGTGAGGATTTGATTATGGCGAGGGGAGGATTGCATTTGCATTGACTGACGACCGGGCAAAAGTCCTCCCCACACACAGTACGATCAGCTGTGTATGAATCCTTGTTTATCGTCTGTCTAAGGTTGACTCACTCATCCAACGTTTGTCTGTGCCATGCCCCGATTCAACTGCTGTTTCTTTTCTTCTTTTAATTCTCCCGTCAAAAGTGCAGAAGCATAGAGGAAGGAAACGAAACGGAAAGCAAAGAAAAATATGGAGGAGCGTTTGTCTTTACTGGTACACCGACTAGTGCAACTTAGAGGGCTGGTAATTTCACGTCGGTCGCGCTTTGCTCCTTTGGAAAAATTCTTGACTCGCTATGTCCCGAAGATGTGTTCATAATATGTCTTGTACGAATGTGATTTTACTTTACTCGATGGTTTAAGTTTTGGGGTTCGAGGTTCTCACGTGGCATCGGAACGCTCGTAAAAAAAAAATTTCAAGTCTTGGCACCCCTCTTAAAACTCTTTATTTGTAGTGGCCGGGTTCGTATCGACTTGCTCGCAATTCTAGAGTCATGCCCATTTCACAAGATTGAACTGAGTTGAACACTTGTAAGGGAGTGACTTTATTACGGGAGAGAGTGCTTAGTGCAATTTCATGTCACTTAAAGACGTGATTATAACTGTCTCTTATTTATGTGTACTCTCCGTGCACTTAAAAAATTATAAGTTTGGGTTGAATTTTTTACCATAAGTCGAGAAATTCACGTACATGGCCATTTTGATCCTAATTATCGACGATGATGGAAATTATGACATCCTGAACGGTTATGTTTTCCTTCAACTTGGGGATTTTCTCCCGCCAACCCTTTTTTTTTTTATGTGAGCGTTTCTCCGAACTTCCACATCGAGATAACTCAACACCACATTTTATCATTCGTCAGAATCTTGCCACATGACAACCCAACGCTATCAAGAAAAAACCCTTAACCTTTCGTCTAGATTACACTATCAGATATCGCCAGGCGCTCGTCGTGGTGGCAGAGGGTTTGATGGCCGGGATTGTTTAGCTCTAAGTACCGGGTTCAATACCAAACAAAAACCTCAGAAAAGGATAAACCTCCTATATTATGGTTAAATTTTAGTTGCCCTAGTGATAGAAAAATGTTCAGATTAGAAGACGTGGACATCATCATATGTTTGATTGGTAAGATGTAGGAGTAAATCCAAATGAAACTTGTCGAGAGAGTAAAAGGCAAGTAAGATGGCAAATTTAAGGGAGTAAAGATAAAGAAATTTGTCTAAAGTAACTTCAAGAAAGATAATAACAAAAGAATATGAGTAGATAGAGAAAAGGAGGAAGAAGAAGAAGAGAGGGTAGCGGATAAGAATCCAACGGCGGGAAGTGGTCCACCGTCAAATCCCTCGTGTACGCATCCAAGGGAGGTAAGATCCGTAAAAGGATACGAAAGGGACACCCCCATTTCTAGAAGGCGTATCTCGGAATCTTTTGAAGAGGTCAGAGCGCCAGCGGTGACATCATGGGTCACGTCGCATTATTTAAGGAGGTCGCTCCCAGATATTTCTTCTTTTCCCTAACTAATTTTTTTCTTTTGGTATTAATTTATGGTCGTGTTTCGTTGGAATAATAGCACAAATAATATCTCAACTTTGGCAAAGCGTGTTATTCGATCTCCGAAATTTTAATTTGTTCAATACAGCCTATGAATTTTACCCCGATACATGACGTGGTCCATAAACTTTTAATATGTTCGATGTGATCCATGAATTTTTTGTGAGTGTTTAATTTAGTCCCTGAAATATATGAAAAATTTTCGGTGTTGTTATTCCATTAATTCAAGTTCATGGACAACGTTGAACATTTTTATATAGTTCGGGGTTTAAATTGAACATGTACAAAAAGTTCGGGAATAACATCAGATATTTTCATATAGTTCATGGACTAAATCGAATGTGCACCAAATGTGTGGGGGTAATATTGAATATTTTCATATAGTTGAGGGACTAAATTAAACATGCACAAAAATTTTATGGATCACATTGAATGAATTAAAAACTTAAGGGTCACATTGCAGATTGGGTCAAAATTCAAGGACCATTTGTATTATTTTCCCAATTTTGTTTTACAGATAAGGCTTCGTCGAGGTGCATTGTGAAGGCATTAAGCATAAAATAGAAATCATAGATTGGTATACATTGGTTGATAACTATTTATTGTCTTAAGTTTTTTTAGTGAAAATGGTTCCGACTGAATTTATCATTAGGTTAAAATTTGGGCTCTTTCTTGACGATCTCTCACGATTATCGGACTTTTACTGTGTGTCTATCGGTGCTTATTTCCATCGGTGTTTTTCATTTTGATCATCTATTTAGCTGATTGTTGATTTCACGATATTGAATGCGCTTTGAGCAATGAAGCACAACATCCTAGTTAGTAGCACAGTAGCGAAAAATGGAAGAAGAAGGGCTCGTCGTAAGGAGAATGATCAATCTCTTACCATCTAGAGTCTCGTATATCGGACTTTAAAGGCGACTCTTAGACGATATGGCTTGGGGGCATGCAATTAATAGAGCAGAGACTCGATAGCTAATAAAAAATGTTGCCATAAAAGCTTATTATTTCATGCCAATCACTATTCATCAACACAATAATTGGGCACTATAGTGAGAATCTACGATAATATAGAATTTTTAGAAACATCCAAGCTTTAATTGACTTTTCTTTTTCTTGGAAAATAAATACTATACTAATAATTAAACAAGTATAGGAAATAGGAAAACAATCAAGATAGGGTACAAAATAACATGACTAATGCGTTGATTGAGTTGCTATGTAGAACAAGGTCAACCGGGTGCGGTATAACCAATGCAAAGAATACTTTCTCGTCGTCATACTTTGACTTCTCCCACGCACCAAGTTGCAAGTTGCTCATAATACAATTATTTTGCAGAAGTGATTGAAATTGCATTATACATTCATTGTTTGCACATGAAAAGTTATCGCAGATTATTTTGTAACCGAGTGTTTCGCCGGAAATGCTCCTGCGATGAAATATAATTCACCGAAAGTTGTTTTTCAATTCTTAATGAGAGGAGACCGGGTTCTGTGACTAATTCCGGGCAGGAGATATCCAGACGTGAACAAAGAGCTTGTTTATTTTGATCAGCAACACAAGTTTACCGTGACGAAGTTTGGCTAATAAAACTTTGAACTTTATAAACAATCCGGACAAATCCGTCTAGCTACTGACTGGCGACATAACATTACAAAGTTACTGGGCTTAAAACGTAGAGAACTACATCTCTGGAAACTAAAAATGCAATACTGGAAAGTAAAGATAATCGAAAGACAACATTTTGATGTGTATTCGCGAGAGGATTTTCTGGCTATCGGATAATATTTATACTGTGAGTCTAATAACCGCCTTCTGACACCATATTCAATAACTACCATTGATTTCACTTTCGCCGTTCATCTGATGACATTTGTCCATTAACTGTCATCGATCTTATCTTTTCGTCCTAACATTTGTCATTTTCTATGCAATAACCGTCGTCGATCTCTTTCCTGTCTTGACACATGTCCTTCTATGCACGGTAACCATCATCAATCTCTTTTAGTCTTGACACCCGTCCTCTCCCATGCGATAACCGCCATCGATCTCTTTTCGTCGTGACACTTGTCATTTCCCATGCGATAACTGTCATCAATCTCTTTTTCGTCTTGATACCTGTCCTTCCTCCTTTTCTCATCGACAACTTCAATGACTCGGGCTCCATATAGCAGTTTTCATCGACGACCTTCGGTACGAAAGCTTAGGTGGCACTTGCTTATTCTATGATTCATCGACGACCTTTGGTTCGAAAGCTCAGGTAGTGCTTGCTTCTTCTACAATTCCAATCTTTTCAATTTCGAATTCTCAAATTTCTCGCCAGGATATTCCAATGCTTGCTAGTTGTTTACTTACGTAAACAATCCTTTATGGGTTACGTCACTCCTTGACGATCTTCGCGCATTTGTCTCTGCTACTTTATTTATTTTTGCTGTGGACAGCCTAATTAATTATAGGTGTCAGCACTGCGTTACATCCTATGCCGTTAAGGCGTTGACATGTGGAATTAAGTTAATAGGTACGCGTACTTTTTCATAATCGAAACACGTTGCAGTTGATCTTAAAGAAGTGTAATTGACTTACGATAGCTTTAGTATTTTACTAGTTTTGACGCACAACGTTTTGCCAATGGATATTTCTTTCTTTGGGTAGTACTTAACTTTCATTCAAAAGTCGTTTACTCAATTTAAAAGGCAACGTGCTGCTCATTTATACTTAAAAAATTGCATATTTCGAGTTTGAAGCTTACTATATATTGAGTACAATAGAAAATTCTCCTCATTTCATGTCAAATGTAATTACAATAGTGCTCCGTCTGTCTCGTGAAAAATGAACAATTTAAAAATTATTTTCCTAAAAGCGATCGTTTACAAAATAAATGAACAAGAAATAATTTCATCATCCATGAAAATGTTTAAATATAAATTATCGTTAATAATGAAAATATTTTCAATCGACTAATTATTTCAAGCGATATAAACGATCATTTTTAGGAAAAAAAAGTTTTTCAAATCATTGTTTTCTGCTAAACTAACGGGGCCCAAGATCCAATTGATTTCGCCCACAACTTGGAAGAATGCGAGCATTTTCATATTGGGCCATGATGGGCCCAATAAGGCGATCGTCGACTCCGGCCCGATCCCCGAACCGGGCCGGGCCGGGCCAGCCGGAAATACGGCTCAGAGGAGGTCTGTTTGTCCAGGCGATTAAACATATCCTCCCACCGGAATAGCGCCCTCATCCGCCGCGAAGAAGGCAGCCGCGAACGCCGACTCTGCGCGAGGAACGGAAGGAAGAAGGAAGGAACGCCCTTTCCACCGCTCGACGATCCGGCAGCCGGAGTTCAGGTAACTCGTCCTCTTCATTCAGCTCTCGTTCCCTTCGTCGGAGCACTTGCTGCGGCGACTCGCGATTTCGGCTTTGTTTCGCGAGGCTCTGGTTCGTAGCACGCTTGGCGAATGGCGAGGAATCGGTTCTCGTCGACCTGATTATCGCGCGTTGATTGATGTGATCGGGCGCGAAATCCAGCATGGGATAGGGTTTAGGAGCATCTATGGCGGCTGAAGACCGAGTTCTCAGCGAGAGGAGTTGAGTGCGATTTTTTCGTTTTTCACGAAACTTTGAAGTCGGTGCATTTTGTAGAAGCACGATGAGGGAGAAAGTCGAGGCTTTGCCATGGGTTTGTGTAGTACTACTGTTGTTGTTGTATGTCGCGGAGCTCGGCCGCATAACTATCGAGTTTGAAGAGATGAAGAGTCCTCCTCCTTAGGAGACCATGAAATGTGGGGCCGAGTCTCAGGTAGAGTGTGCTCTAGGAGAGACAGTTGTGCGCTTTTGCGTGGACGGAGACTGCGAATTCAGGTTGCTGTTTAGGGAGGTTTTCCCGGGTGTGCTTTTTTTTCGCAACTGCTCTCTTCCTATGTTGTCTGAACCTAGGAAATTTGGCGAGTTAGGCCGTGACGATGATATTTCAGCACGATGCTCCTCTCTTCCCCCTGGTTTTCTACCAAATTTCGTAGTTTTGATCACGATGCGATTAGCATTTGCTCAAGTTATATTTTTTTTCATTGATGTTTTCTTTCTTTGGAGTGCTTTGCTCCTGCCATTGTTATTGTTGCTGAAGAGCTATCACGATACTAAACGGGTGCTTACAGCTTATTTTCTCCCTCGTGCAACTCAGGTGCTCTGTGGTTATCGTCACTGTTGTTTGACCATCAGCAACATCTTCAGCATCTCTTTTCTTGGCAATATCTTTTGGTTTGAGAGTACATTTGACTGAAGCGGTGCTTACCATGAATAACTATCATGCTCAGCCGCTCCCTCCAGGAGTTCAATCATATGCTCAATATCCACCTAACCAACCTCCTCGGCCATCCACTTCAGCTCCTTCTTATCATTCTGACAATGCTGTGGGACCTCACTATCAATTTGGTGGATTTGGAAACCACTCGTTGCCTCTTTCTCCTAATTTTGTTCAAAACACAAACACTCAAAGCTTTTATCCTTATGCTGCAACACCTCTGGCTAATTTTGCTCAATATGCTCCAAATTTGTCGGGCCAGAACCCTTATGGAATTCAACATGTCAGTGAATCTCACTCTAACATCCTTGCCGATCCAAATTTAACTCCCAAATCCTATGGATCTTTAAATCCAGATGGTTCTATTCACAGTGTGGTCCCAAGCCCTGTTGTTCACTGTAATTCTTCATTCCATAGTAGTCAATCCAATGGCGAACAAACTTCACATCTGCCAACGCAAAGTCCTGTAGTTTACATGGAAGTGCAACAGAAAATGAATTCTGGGGAAGTAAATTACTGTCAGACCAGTGAAGTTAGGACTTCTCAACAGGTCAATGCTCAGCAAGGTGACTCATTGTCTTCGATGTTGAATGGCCCTGAAGAGCAGGTGCCTCAAAAACTAAATTTGAAGGTTGCGGAGATACCCCAGCATATGGATAGTTCAAAGCATCAAGAGACAGGCTCGGTTGATGCAAAGATCGAGAGGTATGATGATACCATGTTCTCAGTTACTCAAGACTCTGGTTTGAAAAATCTCTCTGAAGAATCCAACAGACTGCCAGATAATGCTAGTGCATCTCCTGTTTATGCCAGCAATTTTATTGAAAGTGCTCAGGATATTGAGACTGCCGCTCAAAATGCAGTGCTCCGAGAACAAGTATATATTTTTCCGTTCGTTATTGTTTTTTCGTTTCGTGTTTCACTTTTTCTCCCTGTTTGCATCTTCTTTATTCTTATGGAGCATTGTTGTGATCGAATTTCAGGAAGTTGCGACTCGAAATGTCATACGCAATCAAAGGTGAGCACTCGGCACAACGAGATATCTAAATTATTAACTCAAAACTGTTCTGCAGCTAACCTTCTGTTTATTTAGAGAGGCGAATGTTGCGACTCGACCTCCTGATGACGATGCAGACATCTTCAAAGAACGTCGTGACCCCAATGCCTTAAAAGTATGCATATTTCAAGACTTTGTAGTAGATTATCTTTTATCTATCAAAAAGAAATTCAAGATTCTGTATCATCTATATATCGTATTTTGGTTATTTTCAGCACCTACTTGCATTATTTTTTGTTGTGCACCATCATAATCTTAGAACAAATGTGAATGTGTCAGGAACATTTACTGAGGATGGCATCTGAGCATCGTGCAGAGATGGCTTTAAAGCGGGGGAAGGCTTCCTCTCCTGAAAATGGTAGACAATTTTGTCTTTCGTAAATGGTTAAGATGTTCTATATTTTCCCTTTTTCTTATAGTAGAGAGTTTCCATTTCATCTTTCTACTTTTTGAAGCTCCATAAAGGCACTCTCCGCAGCATAAACAGAGTTTCATGTTTGTGCTTGTCTGAATAATACATGTTTGTTTGTGAAAAGAATTGGCATAGACAGAGTGAGAACTAAGAGGTAGTGAAAATGGGAGTTAAGGAAGAGTGGGATGGAAAAGGAAGCTATTGTATCTTCCTTTTCTTTTGGCAAATTAAACATTTGGTTGAGACCTGCATTTGGCTTTTTTTTTTCCGGATCAGTTTGGCCATCTAGGTTCATATGGATATGCACAGTACCCTTGTTTGAAGTGCCCTCAACCTCGAGGTTCTACTAAAGACAGTAAGAGAAATTAAACGCTAAATTAGATAATTGATGTGAAGGCCAGTCCTGTTAATTAGCTGCTTGCTTGAGTTTGTATTTATCTGATGCTGTTTCGTCTGTTTATGGGACAAACGTCAAATTACATACTCTTTGATTAAAAATTCTCAAAGGTATATGGGGATCAATATGATTGAATTGATCTCTTTGTATTGGTTACAATCATTCAGCTGGTTGGTACCTATTGTAACTGTTGAATATAGATCTACTTCTGATTAAGCTCTCTTTCGATGATGACCTGAAATCTCATTTTTTCTTGTCCACTTAGAAAAGAGACACGGCGTGAATTATCATAGTATAGGCATGTTGACTTGGTAATGTTTATCTTTGTATTTAAGAGTTATGAACCATGGATTACAGGTAATTTAGAAATTGGAAATGGATATGGTGTACCTGGAGGAGGGGCTTACGCTGTTGCTGCGAGGCCCGATGTTACTATGCCCAGTAAGATTAAACAGCCTATACTTTTCAAGTGCAATTCTTTTTTTTATGCTGAAGCTGGTCACATCTCTCTTTCTTCTGATGCTTAAGGACGTGTCGGGAATGAAGAATTGTCTGCTGCAAAAGAATTGCCAGAGTATCTTGAGCAGAAATTGAAAGCACGTGGCATATTAAAGGATAATAAGGCCGATAAGGATCCTGTTGCAGCTGTGAATGTAGGCTGCTGTCACTCGTAGAGTTCTTTTAGTTTTTTCCATTTTCACTTGTTTGCGGATGGAGAATTTTATATGCTTGTCTCTTTGATATTGTTTCTTTTCTTTCTGCATGTCTTTGTTGGTTGAGTGTATTGGAGTTTTCTATTTTTTATGATATAAAATGCCTAGATAAGTTCTGGATTTGCATCTTCTGTTCTCAAATATATTCTGTTGCATATACTCAAACAGGTAATGAGTTCTTTTAACATTTTTATTTATTTATTTTCACTTTCAGAAGTTGGACATACAGTCAGCTCAGATCTCGCGGAGTGGAAGGTTGCCTCCTGGATGGGTGGGTAACAGCTAACCTGTTCATATCCTCTCTTTTGTGATCATTTGTGTAAATCAAGAGCTAAGAAGCATGTTCAATGCACAGAGAATTTAGTTGTAGGATAAACTAGGCAGTGGTTACAAGCACAAACTATTGAATGCAGATTGTAATTATTGTAAGTACAGCATGACATTTTTTCTCTTTTCTGATTGGCCATAGTGTATTAGAAATAGGAAAAACGCGTATGTTCAAATAATTGCTGTGAATGATCCATGATTTGGTAGAAGTCTCTTACATCTCATGGCTAAATCTCTTGCATTATCGGGTGCTTTGGACAATTGTGCCAGCCTTTGGCACGTTGTTGTCTACATATATGCCTGAGACTTTTAAAACTGATTCCCTGAATCTGATGAATATTTATGTGTGAATGCCAAATGCTAGATGGAGGTTTTCTAGAATGTTCTGTGGTCTTTGTGAACTTTACAGTAATCTGCTCCCCATGCTTATAAGGATGTTTCAGAGATCACTGGTAAAGATCTCCAAGTGTTGATAAAATGCATGCATGTATCCACATCCACCAGAGCTTATTTTCTTCTAGTCAGCATGTTTGACAGACATCAAATGCCACATAATGTCAACAAAGGTGTAGGTCATGTATAAACAGCTCAACAATGAAAGCTAGCAAGGTGAAAATGATTCAATGGAGTACACGTGTTATAGCAATTTTTTGCTGCTAGACTAGAATGTTTTTGTTTGGATTGAGAAAACCCCATTATTTCTGAGGACACTGATGGCCATTGCTGATTCATAATCTCTAAGAGTTTAAGGATCGTTCATGTAATGTTGATTTGTCCTCTATTCATGAAAAAAAATTATAGTATGTAAATTCAATCAATATAATCTCAGATTCGAAAAGACTCAGTTGACTGCATTTTGGCTTATCATCATTTCCATCTATTTCCCTGTTTGATGGGCTTTTGGCATAGAGTTATAGGCTACTCTTAAATCACTGCATTGTATGTAAAACTGGAAAAAGATGCAACAGAAAGATGTTTCTGTTCTTTCTTGTTCTTCAAAAAATTTTGATTTTGGAGTTATAATCTTCTTAGAGCTTCTGATTCCGCTAATTACTCACTAATTTGTGTAGATTGAGGCTAGAGACCCAGCAACTGGTGCTCCGTACTATTATAATCAAAGCACTGGGAAGAGTCAGTGGGAAATTCCTCAACAAACTTCTTCTGCTGGCCACTCTCCATCATCATTTTCTCTTCCAGAAAATTGGATTGAGGCATTTGATGAGGCGACAGGTACTTCACAAAATCATCTGACTGTCGACTTGTGGGTTCCTGAAAAATGTAAGATTGATATGGATCCATAAAGATTTGGTTCCATAACACAATTTTTAGTTAGTCATGGCTCATGTCATCTTGATCTTGCCAAAGAGAGAAAGGAGGAGGGGGTGGGAAAGAGGGGAGGGGGGTGGGGGGGTTTGGGGTGGTGCCCTGATGCATTGAAAGGGAAATTGGTTTTTCCAATTCTATTGTGCACATTCCCTGTGTAATTTCTATACCCAATGGTGGAAGTATCAAAGTGGGAAAATAGTTAGTAATATGTTCATTCTGCTCACAAATCTAGATTACAATTGGATACAATATTGTGTTGTGCTAGCTTATCTCTTATCAGTCACCATGCATGGGTCAGATTCCTGGCCTGTTGATTAATGCGTTGGCATGCAAACATTTGTAAATCAGGTTGCCACTTACTGTTGTTTTCAGATTAACCGAATCTTTCTTTACAGGTCATAAATACTATTATAATACGGCGACACATGTATCGCAATGGGAGCGTCCTAGTTCATCTGAGCCGGTTGCTTCACAACATGATACAAGCTCGGTGTCTCAAAGTGCAGCTAACAAAAATTGTGACGACCAGTCATCTCATCTGACGAGATGCATGGAATGCGGTGGCTGGGGACTGGGTCTTGTGCAGTCTTGGGGATACTGCAACCATTGCACTCGGTAATACAAAGTTTATGATCACTGTAATTATTGTGATCTTGCTTTTGTTATGTTGTACTGCTGGAGGAAAAAAGTTACTTTTGAAGAGAGCCTATGGGGCAAGTTTACTGATGTGGTTTGAAAAGATCAACACATTTCTCTCCAACTTCACCCCTTTCTCGACTCATTTGACCATTTTCAACTGCAATCTGCAAGCTGGGAGCTCATTCAATGGGACTTTAGGAAACAAAATTGCTGCTTTTATAGTTCAACACTCTACTGAATGTTGTTGACGGCTAAGACTATCTGTTAATCTATCTTCTATGGGAGCTGTCTAACTGTAAGTAAGGCTCCTTTGTTAATAGTTGGAAGGAAAATGGATTAACTGAATAAAACCTACAAGTGATATATCAGTTTTTCTACAGAGACCTCATAGTTCCAAAGTTTCAATTGAAAGTTCAGATTTGTGATCCTCTTGAAGGATGGCGTCTCTGACTGCTTTGAAGAGACTGGTCCTTTTTAAATGTGGATGCTATTATGCTATCGAAGCCAAGGTGTGGCCTAGTGGTGCCTGCATAAGAGTACTTGAGGGTCCTCGAAAATTTCTCTGTACTCCTTTGAAACTTTTGCAAGTAATCCTATGTTGTGCTCTTGTTTTACTTATCTGGAGCGCTAGCTCATTCTTCCTACTGATGTCTATTCTTTTCAAATGCATCAGTTTAAACACAGTTTGCTGACATACTGTATGCAACTGCACTTTCTACGTGAAGTTTGAAATGAAATTTCTCTATATTTTGTGAACTGCAGAGTTCTTAATCTTCCTCAGAGCCAGTACATATCAAGCATTTCATATAACTATCAGCAGATCAGCATTAATGCAAAAGGAGAAGATACTGAGAGAAAGTCCTCCAAGGACAGGTAATTCGAAATTGGTAGACAAGCTGTGACTGATGCTTGTGATAGTTGCATCATGTTTATACTGCTATTGAACCTTCACCTTTCTTCCGAGCCAGGGCACCAAACAGATTGTTTGTCATTCTTGTGCATATGAACTTAAGCTCATGAAACAGTATCACCTGATTAAGAAAATGAACCTCACTACGTCAATTGAAGCTACATATTTTTCCCTGAGGATTTTTGTTAGGTATGCTCTGCGAATAACATCATATGCTGTCATGATGAGGAGATCTTTCCAGTCTCTAGGTTTCACTATGGCATAACATTAAATTAGCTGGAGTTCTTTTTTTAAATGCATGTGGTCCCTTTCTCTCCCCCCCTTCCAACCCACCCCTACCTCTTCTCGTCAATATTCTTATTGTACATTGGTGTTCTTGTAGCATTATATTAGCTGTAGTTTTGGCGTCCATATGCTTGGATGACAATGTATAAGCAGCTCTTAAGACTTCATGAAATTCATGTAAATGTTGTTTCACCGGAAAAGTAAACAACACCAATTTGGACTCTCAGGTCTGGCTGGAGACCTCCTATAGGAAAGAAAAATAAAAAAGATAGCAGGAAACGTGCCTTTTCTGAGGATGATGAGTTGGATCCCATGGACCCAAGCTCTTACTCAGATGCTCCTCGTGGAGGATGGTATGTGTTTCATTGGTTTTACTGCTGCTTTATGTCTGAAAATGTGGTCATGTGGTGTGGCAAATTTTCCTTGATTTGACTTAAGAAATTGCTGATCTACTTCAGGGTTGTAGGCTTGAAAGGAGTACAACCACGTGCAGCTGATACCACAGCCACGGTACACTACATTGTCGACATCAATGCATTTACTTTTATTCTGCTAGATGAATCCATTTTGCATTAAGGTCAAATATGGAAACTTTTTCTCAGCAGATATCAAAAATGGAAATAGTAGAAATTGTTTTTACTTTCTTCTTCATGGTTAGCCCCGAGGCAGGGTTATTTTCAGCTGATTAAGTAGAAGAACCTAGGAATTGCAATTTTTGCTGTGATTTCATATCCATGAAAAAGAGACATGATCAGGCAAACGTCTGTCCAATGTTGTGGTCTATGAGTAATGATGATTTCATTCATTTGATGTTTTCATCTGCTTGAGTAAGTAACGTGTGTTTTGGTAAATTTCAGGGTCCTCTGTTTCAACAGCGGCCGTACCCGTCTCCTGGAGCTGTCTTAAGGAAGAATGCAGAAATTGCTTCACAAAGCAAGAAACCCAACTCTCGTTATGCACCTATAACAAAGAAAGGGGATGGCAGTGATGGACTAGGCGATGCTGACTAAACTCGGGATATAGTCTCAATCAGATTTAAGTGGTGAAAGAATCCTCAATGCTGCTTTTTGTGTCGCCACTGATGCTTTGGGCGTGTATGCTTCCCGCCTTCAGATGTGCTGGACATGGTTTGGATGACATACTGGCAATGGAACTTTCCTGAGGGTATTTTGCTAAGAAGAGGGAATATATGCCCTTTTACTTTCCAAATACAGAAGCCTGCTAATGTGTCGAGCACGTGTGAAATTGAAGAGGCGGCATTTGAAATGACTTGTTTCTTCATCATAATGCAAGTATAGCCTAGATCAATTGCCTGAAGTTTGCATTTGAGAAGTTGCTTGTCATACCAACTGGTTTTCCATGTAGTTTGCGGCCTGTCCGGTGCTTCTAAATTTCGATAGCTTCTAAGAATATATTGTATATATATTATGGAAGCTCACGTACTGTCAACTTACGAGATTAGGGGCGAGTTAGAATTGGGATGAAAGTTGCAAGAAGTACAGTTGTTTAGGAGGTTCTAAGAACTAGGGAGAATTTGTATTGGATGGCGGTTCAGCCATTAAATTTTGGAAGTGAATGACACCATGACATAGAGTGCTGTCCGTGCCAATTTTGCAGCTCTGTTCAGTTTCCAAGAAACACGTTTATACAGGCCTCGCTACTACCGGCCTCTAACAGCATTTGCCAGCTGCCGATTCTTCTGCTCCCGCTGCTGCCACTGCCACGAGTCATTGTCGCCGGTGCCACCCTACCGCCAGCCACCGGTTTGGTGATTTATGCTAGCTACCAACTGTTGTGAAGCCACCACCGTTGTTGGTGGTTGCCGCTCTCCCGCTCCAATCACTGGTTTTTTTTTAATCTCTCGCAATCCTCAAAAGGGCTATTCCATCCGTGTCCAATTATCGCCATCGTAAAAGTAATCCTGTGTCATCGTCAAACATTAGAAGATCTTATCTTGTAAAAGAGCTATTACTTAAGATGGCTCGAGAGATACTAGGAATTCTTACAATGGTTTTAAAACTAATAAATAAGTACACAATTCATGAAAACAAGCGAAGTCAGTCTCGGGAAAGTTGTATATTTTATGCATATTCAACGAGATTTGAGGCAATGTTCTGGCTCCTCCTCGTCAGCATTCTGTTGGCCCTTGGATGATTCGTGCTATATTTATCATTATGTAACGAAAATTCCATCATACTGGTCTCATTTTCAGTCAGTGTCTTTTGTCAGGACTAGGACTCAAAGCCAACTGTTAAAGAAGAGGGATCGATCATATGCGACAGTCCATCGGGCCACGGGTTTTTCTCTTCCCTTTTTTCCTTTCGCGTCTTTGTCCTTTTGCTTCTCGTTCTGGGCATCGACTGAGCCGCCGCCCGATTACGTTCCACAGTCGACAGCAAAGAACACGGGGGCGAATTGTCACTGTGGGGAGGAAGGTGAGTGAGTCATCACCAATCTTTCAAGGGTCAGCTGCACTTTTAAAACGCAAAAAAGCAAGAGTCTTTTAATGTGTTTCGTGCGTGCGTGTGCGTGTCCGAGAGACACAGAGAGAGAGAGAGAGAGAGAGAGAGAGAGAGGCCACACGTGGAAGTGACTCAAAGATAACCTGATTGCTCAGTCCCCCTCCATTCTCACTGTGCTGCTGCTACATACTGATAGCTTTTCAGTAGCATAAGATAATAAGCTAAATTTTAACAAGGGGACGAAAAGATACAACTGGGCTTTGAGCATTGGAGCAACGAGCATGGTGGGGTAGAAAACTAATAAAGAACGAGGAAAAAAAGGACAAGCCTTTCTCTCTCTCTCTCTCTCTCTTTCTTCGCTTCAGTCGATCCGGGAACCTCCCTGATCTGATCCCCATCAACGTTAGCCGATCGAAGTCCAACCCATCATCAATTTCAGTGCCCCCAGTTGCCTTCCCATCATTCCCCTTCCAACGGTTTGCCGATCCCGTTAGTCACCGAAGGGTTCGAAGCATCTTCATCAGCTTCTTCTTCTTCTTCTTCTTCTTCGTCCTCTGGGGTCCTCTCCCTCTCCTCCCGCACCTGGCCGCAGAAATTGAAGGACCCGAACTTGGGGGTGAACTCCGGGGAGCAAGCGTTGAACTTGGTGTCGAAGGTGAAGGAGGAGGAGCAGTGGCTCTGGTGGCGGCGATCGGTGCGGGCCAGCTCCTGGACCTTGTCGAGGGCCTTGGGGCAGTTCCTCCGCCGCTTGGTCTCCCGCGCGTCGTCCTCCCGCTCGTCCTTCCCGGGCTTCTCCGCGGCCGGAATTCCCGGGGCCTCGCCGGAATCCGAACCGGGTCGGGAGGCGGAGGACGGCGGCTCCGCCGGCGACGGCCTGACGGTCTCCGAGTCCGCCATTCTGAGGTCACGGACAGGGGAAGAGAGAGAGAGAGAGAGTGAACAGCTCGTGAGGAGAGAGAGAGAGAGAGAGAGAGACTGTTTTTTTTGCATTGTGGGCGGCCATTAAATATTGGGGGGGTGGGGCAGGGGGAAGTACGTGCTCACAAAAACAAAATGCTCCTCTCTGTTTTTTCTTTGTTTATTCTCTCGATTAAGCTCATGTGTCTCCCTTAGTTTAGTTTCTTAATTTGGGTTAATACCACGGAAAGCCTCGAACTGATTCGCCCGTTACAAAATTTACCATAAACTAATTTTACAACAATAAAAAAACTCCAAACTGGTACATCCGTGATAAATTTACCCCAATGATCACCAAAAAACCCTAAACCGGTACATTTGTGAAACATTTAACCTCCGTTAGTTTCCGTTAAATTGGATTAATGTTACGAAAAATCACAAACCGGTACACCTGTGACAAACGAAGGGTAAAACCCCAAACTGGTATAACTGTGACAAACGGAGGATAAAATCCCAAGCTGGTATATCCGTCAACAGTCACGTGTCATCCAACTAAAAAATATGACGGTTAAATTTAACGGAAATTAACGGAGGATAAATCTATCACGGGTATATTGGTTTAGGGTTTTCAATGGTAAAAAAATTAGTTTTGGGTAAATTTGTTATATGTGTACCAATTTGGAATTTCTCGTGCTATTAATTATTTTTAATTTATTCTTCTGTAAGGTTAAATTAAGGTGGTCGAAGGAGAAAAATAAAACTAAAAATAAAAAAAGATGATGAGGTCACGGCTAATTCAGGAGTCCCACCCACACATTGGGACAAGGGTTCTCAGCTTGGGAGTCAAAAAATTTGCTAAAGGGCAAAAGGACAAGAGAGAGGTGTCCCCCAACCTACCTGCCTCCTCCTCCTCCTCCTCCTCCTCTCGTGAAGAAGATTCCCTTTACTAAGATAATCATAGGCAAATCGCACGCACGGATCGACTCGATGGGATTCAACTTGTATTTATTAGTGGCGTGATTGTCAACCTGAGGATGTTGATTAGTATTTCTACTTTTAGTGCGCCAATCCTGCTCTTGGATGCGAAAGTGGCTTTTGCACAGCACAGGCAGTTCGTTCACTTTCAAGGCAACTCGTGAGTAGGAGCAAGAGAGCTTTTGTTTGGAGAATCACATTTTCGCTTTCTAGGAGCCGGTCTCCGAATCTTGTGGGACTTGATGTTTTATACTCGCGGATGATTGTCCAAAAAGTCATAAAATCTATTTTACGGTTGCCAATTTGGTCCTTTGTTTTTTTTTTTTTTTTCCAGTTTTGGCAATTTAGTCTTAGCCCTTTCGACGGTTTGGCCAATTTAATCCTGAACCTTCTAACGATTTGCTAATGTAATCGTTCTAATTTGATTTTGGCCGGAAATCGCTGACGTGGCGGTCGTGCCATGTAAGACGGCCGGCGTCCACGTCAGCAATTTCCGGCCAAAATTGGTTGAAAGGACTATATTGACAAATCGTCAAAAGGTTTAAAATTAAATTGGCAAAATTGAAAAATGCAGGATTGAAATTGGCCGTTGTACGATAGGTTTAGGACTTTTTCGGCAATTTTCCCTTTATCCCCGTGTATCGCAATCATTGGCTCTGTATAGATACATGAGACGCCCACTCGATCTTTATGATCCTTGGTAACTTCTAACACTCTCCCTAATGATCCCCCCCGGTTGTTTTCATCGCCGGTTTAGAGAAACTTATTAAGAGGAAAAGAGGTTATTCTTCTTGCGGATGCCTTGAACACCGAAAGACATGATTCTACAAAGCAAAAGGAACTACACTTTTGGAAGGGTTTTAATCATATTATGTGTACTTTGAAATAAGACTAACATTAACATGAATGGACATGCTGAATTGCACCAATGTTGGTCCGGAGTAGGGAAAACTGGAAATGAGCTATAATGTCACTGTCGAGATTCCCTTCTTGAGTAACTTTGCATACTATCGTTAACATAAAACAATTCTCAATTGAACGGCTTGTCTTTCTTCCCCCAAATGTGTAAGTTAACATCTCCAGAGGAGTACCGATGCGCAATTTTTTGATGTTGTTATTTGACTTGGATTAATAGGTGCAAGATGGAAAAATTATCCAAAAAGTCATAAACCTATTATACGGAGACCAACTCAGTCTTAAACCTTTTGGCAATTTGCCAATTTAATCCTAAACCTTTCAATTGTGCCAATTTAGTCCTAAACCTTTTGATGATTTTCCAATTTAGTCTTAAACTTTTTGACAATTTACTAATATAGTCTTTTTGTCCAATTATCCAAATAATATGTTTAGGACTAAATTGACAAATTTTCAAAATGTTTAGGACTAGATAGACTCAATCGAAAGACTTATGACTAAATTGGCAAATTTTTAAAAGGTTTAGGAATATTTTGGGACAATTGAAAGGCTCCGGACCGAATTGGCCGCCGCACAATAAGTTTAGGACTTTCTGGACAATTATCCAGGTGCAAGATATACAACTCTATTTCATCGAGTCTGATTTTTCACAGCTTTGACTGATGTATAAGTGGCACTCGTTGGATGAGGTAGCTCAAGTGCATGCATCACTTACTGTTGAAAAGTAGTGCATGTGATTGAATCTGAACGACTCAATTACAAGCTGACCCTTACGATCTGTGAAGAGCACAGTTTACCTAATATTCTATGACAGAGAGGCATGCGTACATGTTTCAACGTGAAGAGCTTGATGAAAGCAATTTAACTTGCCATTGAACAGGTGGTCTTTGGCATTTTCTTGATTGACTTCTTGTTGTGCTATGGAAATTTCTGAATAACCCTAGGTTATCATTATATATCCACCTTAGCCGTATTACAACGACAATAGTAACTGAGGACATGTTTCGATTTCCAATTCATTGATTGTACCTAACACGAAAAAGATAATAATGATTATAACATCTACCGCCGGTTAAAAAAAAAAAGTTTTACACAAAAGGCCTTATACATCATTGATTTGAGAAGTGCATAGTTACAATTATCATATTAAGGATAGATCAGACCGCTTGTGTAAATTTTCATTTAGAATGGCTGTAAAATTTCCTTTATAGTAATGGTATATGCTCTATTTTTTTTCGTATGTCAATGCATAAAAAATCGCAAACTTTCCTTAAATAGGTATTGAATAAGTGTCCTAGGGTACTCGTTTATAATATAGTCTTGTTTATCCGGTCCCAATGAACAAGTATATATCGTCCGAGTGAGGACCCGGGAAATCAATAGCATTATTAGGCGATTCGGTAATAATTTAAGGATCTCGCTAAAGAGGTACACTCGTTAATCATACTAATTAAGAAAATATTTCGATTTTCAATACCATTTATAGAATATTTAAATATTAAACCACACATTTATTCAACAGTTTAAGTTTTTAAAACAGTTGACAGTGGTTTCACAAAATCTTACATGAACAAGTGTCCTAGGGGTACTCGTTTACAATATATACTTGCTTATCCGGTCCCAATGAACAAGTATATATCGTCCGTGCGAGGATCCAGGAAATCAATAGCATTATTAGGCGATCCGATAATAATTTAAGGATCTCGCTAAAGAAGTACACTCGTAAATCATACTAATTGCGAAAATATTTCGATTTTCAATACCATTTATAGAGTATTTAAATATTAAACCACACATTTATTCAACAATTTAAGCTTTTAAAATAGTTAGCAGTGTGGTTTCACAAAATCTCGCATGAACAAGTAGAAGTGTCATAGGGGTACTTGTTTACAATATATACTTGCTTATCCAATCCCAATGAAGAAGTATATATCGTCCGTGCGAGGACCCAGGAAATCAACAGCATTTTTAGGCGATCCGATAATAATTTAAGGATCTCACTAAAGAAGTACACTCGTTAATCATACTAATTGAGAAAATATTTCAATTTTCAATACCATTTATAGAATATTTAAATATTAAACCACACATTTATTCAACAGTTTAATCTTTTAAAACAGTTGGCAGTAATTTCATAAAATCTCGCTTGGTATCATAACATAGGGTCTTGAGTTTAAATCTTTTCAAGCTCCTATTTGCCTTCCCAATGAAATATTTCCACGCTTAATACATGGCATAAAAGACCAAACCAAGCGTGAGGGAGTGATAGAGTATTTAAATAGTAAATCATATGTTCGTCAAACAGTTTATGCTTTTAGAACAGTTGGCTGTGATTTCACAAAATTTCACAAAAATGGGTATTTGCTCAAAACCTTTCTTAAACTTTGACACAGTTGTGCTATAGAACCTGAACTTTGAAAAATTATAGATTGCCTCTTTGAATTTTGGCATCATCACGTAATGCTCAGAATGGGTGAGTTTGGAAACATTTTGGGGAAAAACTTTTGGGAAAATGGAAAGGACTTTAGGTGAAATGGTTTTCCCAAAATACATATAGTGTTTGGTAAAGTGTAATTTACAAACACATTGGGAAGAAACTTTGACTTATATGCCATTTAAAAAGAACTACATTTTATAAAGGACCTTTGCTAATTTTTTTTAAAAAAATTTCTCAAACCAATTTGCCAGCAAAACTCAGCTGCCGCTGGCTAGCCTTGCTTGGGGTTAGTGAGGCCAGATTTGGCCTCACGGGTGGCCCGAACCCTCTCCGTGAGGAACGATATATTGAATTCAAAATGCATCAAACACCCATATTCCAAGATTCTCAAAAATTCGCCCGTTTGATGCCCAAGGCCTAAAGCCCAAACGGGTAAGCTTGATTTAAAAAGCTCCTGAAAGCTGACGGGTGCGTTTTAAAATGGTGGGGACATTTTCGGAATTATGAAAATTGACCGATGGCAAAGTTGGAAGAAAAATAATTGTATTTGAATTTTAAAAATCCTCAAAACTCAAAACACCTTTGGACCTGCCTTGGGTTAAAGGCTATTAGAAATGCAATTGCATTTCTCAAGATTCTCCAAAAAATTTCGCCCAACACGTTTGTATTTGCCCAAGGCCTTTAAAGCCCTAAAGGGCTTTGGCAAAGTCTTACTAAACGCAGCCAGTGATTGAAAAAGCCGTAGATTAAGCTCCTAGAGATTTGTTTTTTTGTGTTGCAGCCGTAAACTTTTTCATTTGCATAACCATTAACTCAATTTTGTTTCTTCATCAAAGTAAGCTCTGCTGCATGGTTAATGAAGAAAGAGAGCGATGCATGGTTAATAAAATGAAATAGAGATTACATCGGTCAGTAAATATGAACTGGTCCGTTTTCGGTTAGTACTGAATGATTTTGTAGGCTGAAAAACCAGCAGCTGTAACGGAAATTAAAGTCTTAAGAGGGGCCATTCTGCAACTTTTTTAGGGACTATTATGCAATGGTGACAAAGTTTCGGGGATTTTGAGGAATTGTCTCGAATAAGGAAGAAAGATGGAGGAGGGCAATCAAAATTCCATCGTATGGCTCACTCCCACCGTTGACCGGTACGCAGATTTCTCCGAAACGATGCCGGCTTCGAGACTTTTCCTTAGCACCTACGCCATCCGCAACTACCGTTCAAAGAAGAGAAGATTCCCCCCTCCTTAAGTCACACGCGAACGCTCTCGATCCGTTTCTGTATCGTTTTGGCAAACAAAGGAAGAATTTTTACGGAGGAATCCATTTCTTGCGGTGGGGGAGGACAAAGATCGCTTTTTTACGAGTGTCCCGATGAAGCTCAACAAGTTCTGCGCCGCTCTGGCGGTCGTGGCGGTGGTCCTGTGTGCGTCGAGCGAAGTGGGTCTGTGCAGGCATGGCCAGATCATCAGGATGAAGCCTGGAGGGGTTCATAACTGCAAGGGTCATCAGAACAGCGCCCAGATCGAGAGCCTGGCTCGTTTCGCTGTTGAGGAGCACAATAAAAATGAGGTCTTTCTAATTTTTCCCCCCTTTTGATTCCTTCTCTTTCTTTGGTTCTTGCCCTCTTTGGTGTTTCCTTCCATCGAAGTCTGGTTGATCTTGTACAAGCATGTTTTGCTTTTGATAAAGTAATCTGGTCGAGCATATCTTGACTTTAGTTATCCATTTTTCTGGTGATCTGTTTGGATTTATTTCCGGGATTACCTTGTTCTCAAGGTGCTGCGTAATAACGCAGAGGGTTGCTGGTGCCACTGAGGTTTCGTTCGTTTGACAGAAAATTGTTCTTGGGAAAATTGTTTCCCGATTTTCCGATGTTTAGATGATGAAAAATTAATCAATCTAGGTAAATCGTTTTCCATAGATCGAGAACAGTAGATTGAGGAAAATAAGTTCCTCTTTCTAGCGAGAAGGAAATCACTTTTCGTAAATCACAAAATAAATGAAAATTAGCCATTTTCCTTGAAAATGATTTTCATGAAAAATATTTTCTTTTATCACGCAGTTTTTAAGTGAAACAAAGGCACCCTTAAGGTTTGGTAATTGGAGCATCATTTAGACTAGACTTATAGCCATTATTGTTCATTTTGTCTGGTTGTTGCATTTGATCTCCTCTGAATCTTCGATTGTGCCATTTGATTCATCGCAGAATGCGCTTCTCGAGTTTGCTCGTGTGTTGAAGGCCAAAGAGCAGGTAGTCGCTGGGACTATGTACCATCTTACCCTTGAGGCTGTTGATACCGGCAAGAAGAAGATCTATGAAGCGAAAGTGTGGGTGAAGCCGTGGATGAACTTCAAGCAGCTGCAGGAGTTCAAGTATGCTCAGGATGTGCCCACCTCCATGACTTCTGATCTTGGCGTTAAACGAGGTATCGAGCTAAGCACAAATTAACCTGTTTGTCCATGACTTTACTTAGCTGTTGATTGTCCATTTCCAGGACAACCAATCTAAAATCAACAAAAAAGAAAAGATTCATTGGTCATTGCGACATTAGCATGAATCAGGATTAAAGCTGATTGATGTAGAATATTTTACTTGAATGCATGAGGGGTATTACTGTGCATGAAATTTACAGAATGTAGTGTGTCATACCGTAGGAATCCAAGATGGAAAGAAAACTTTGAATTTGGTTGGTGATTTAAAAAAGATCCGATATTTTTATATGAAGTGACTATTGTAAGTCGTAATTAGTTCAGAGGCTCAAATAGTCTGTGCCAAAACTGTCCACAGTTGTGAATATTCCAATTCATCTTATGGCTTCAGAGAGCTATTTCAAATTTAACTGCATATTCTCATCTCCATCTTTCTCTGCCCGCTCTTTATGTCAATATGAATCTCGAAAAATGGTGTAATGAGTACTCATATATTTATATCTGGATAATGCCACATGTCGTTCTGCAACTCATCTGCATTTCCTCTCTCTTTTACTATGTAATTCTCTGTCGAGTTTAAATTAAGCGCATTCAAATCATGGCTCTTCATATGGTCTAACTAGACATTTTGTTTCCCAGCCCCAAATCTCCAAGCTCTTTAGAAGTATTTCTTGGTTTTCTGTTTAACCTCAATGCAGTGTTTGGGGTTGGGGGATTTTTCTAGTGGTGAACTGGGCCAGTGCTCTAGTGGCTATGGCTGAAGCTCATGAGGCAAGTGAATGCTAGCAGTTGCACGCTTTGGTTAACCACGTGAGAAAAACAATAAGACAATAAGCAGCCCCGAGCAGTGGCTTTTCTGCTTTGTTGTTGGGTGTCTGATCGAAACCTCTGCTTAACGTGTAGGTCACTGAGAGTTCTGCCAGATCTCGGTTGCTTCTGAAGGTGAGGGGGGAAGCAAAGGAGAAATAGCAGACTTTATCTATATCAATGGGTGGACTACATCCATTCCATGTTAAAATAATTATGAGGTATGTGTAAAAGAATTTGTGGACATGTATGGTAAATTGAGTCCATATGCAGAAGAGCTGCGCTATCTAGCTCTTTGACGTTTGAGATATCACATCGAGTTTGGGAAAATAGTACCTATTCAGTCACTATGTACATATAAAGTTAAAACTTTTTATGATCTTGCGTATGTAGTTTGTTTGTGTTGGGTTTATTACTTTAGAGTATTAGCAAGTTGGGGGTATTTGTGTAAATGTATTAGGCTTAATCCTAAGCCTATAAATTCTCTTTGTTATCTCTGAAATAAAGTTAAGTTACTCTTTTATCATTAACATGGTATCAGAGCACAAATTAAAAACCTAAACCCTAAAATTAACACTTCTCACAACAAACCCTAGCCACCACCGCTGTAGATCCCTCCGGCGACCTCCGTCCGGCGTCGCCCAGGGCCGGCGACCTCAGATCCGGCGTCGCCCAGGGCCGGCGACCCTCCGTCCGGTGTCGCCCAGGGCCGGCGACCTCCGACGACCTCCGTCTAGCGTCACCCAGGGCCGGGGACCTCCGTCCGGCGTTGCCTAGGGCCGGCGACCCTTCGTCCGGCGTCGCCCAGGGCCGGCGACCTCAGATCCGGCGAGATCTAGGTCAGAAATCAGTGTTGTCTGACCATTAATTCACTCGCCTCAGATCTCTCGTGTGTTTTTGATGTATTGAAACCCATAAATCGATGTTATTAGGGGAGTTTCTGAGGCCGAGGGTTGTGTGGAAGTGATATTTGGCTGCTGAAAGTGACATTTGGATGTGGGGTAGTTGATTTATGAGGCTTGATTGTTATATATTATTATATGATGTTACGAAGGGTTAAATGGTGTTCTGAATTGTATGGATAGAGTTCTGAGTTTGGCTGGCTGAATTAGAGTAGCTGAATTTGGAATGACTGAATTAGTGTGGTTGAATTGAATTGATTGAACTAGTTGGAGTGACATGTGGGGTTACTGAGATTTGCGGATACTTGCAGAAGTTATATAATAAGTGGGGTGTGTTATTTATTACATACGCGGGTTAAGATGCTGCATGAAAACCATTCTGGTTCTGTCCAGAACTGGTTTTTTGTTCCCAGAATCAGTTTTGGACCAGAAACCCGTTTGGTAACGCAATTTCATTTTTCTATTTCCGGGACAAGTTTGCTTCCAAAACTGATTCTGAAACCAGAAATGAGAACCAAAAAAAAGTTGGTTTTTCATTTCTAGAACAAAAGTGAGAACCATTTCTGAGGAATTCATTTTCTTCAACACACATATTCATATGGAAGTCACGATCTTTGAGGTGAGAAAAAAAAGCAAAAAATCAAAAATTTCAAAACTTAACAGAATGGTTTAGAATCTGTAGCTACCCACTTTCAGTGAAATTTAAATTTTTTTAGGTACCGAAAAAAATAAATAAAAATAAAAAATTTCAAAATTTCACAAAATGGCTTAGAAAACCTATGGCCACCCACTTTGAGCAAAATTTAATTTTTTTAGTTGCCAAAAAAAAAATTCTAAAATTTAAAAACTTCACAAAATATCTTAGAATACCATGTGCCACCCATTTGAGCGAAATTTTATTTTTTAAGTCTAAAAAAATAAAAAAGCAAAAAATCAAAAATTTCAAAACTTCACAGAATGGCTTAGAATACTTGTGGCCATCCACTTTGAGTGAAATTTAAATTTTTAGGTACTAAAAAAATAAAAAAATAAAAAATTTCAAAACTTCATGGAATAGCTTAAAATATCTGTGGCCACCACTTTGAGTGAAATTTAAATTTTTTTATATGCCAAAAAAATAAAAATAAGCAAAAATGTAAAAATTTCAAAACTTTACAGAATGGCTTAAAATACATGTGGCCACCCACTTTGAGAGAAATTTTATTTTTTTAGGTGCCGAAAAAAAAAAAAAAAAAGAAAAAAGAAAAAATTTCAAAACTTCACAAAATGGCTTAGAATACCTGTGGCCATCCACTTTAAGCGAAATTTAAATTTTTTTAGGTGCCGAAAAAAATAAAAAAATAAAAAATAAAAAACTTCACATAATTGCTTATAATATCTGTGGCCACCCACTTTGAGTGAAATTTAATTTTTTTTAGGTGTCGAAAAAAAATAAAAATAAGCAAAAAAGAAAAATTTTCAAAACTTCACAGAGTGGCTTAGAATACATGTGGCTATCCACTTTGAGTGAAATTTAATTTTCTTTAGGAACCAAAAAAAAAAAAATACCATTTGGGCATCTAAAAAAAATTAAATTTTACTCAAAGTGGGTGGCTAGAGGTATTGTAAGTCATTCTGTGAAGTTTTGAAATTTTTGATTTTTTATGTTTTTTTTCACCTAAAAAAATTTAAATTTTACTCAAAGTGGATGGCCACATGTATTCTAATAAGTCATTCTGTGAAGTTTTGAAATTTTTGATTTTTTACTTTTTTTTCACCTCCAAAAATTAAAATTTCACTCAAAGTGGGTGGCCACAGGTATTCTAAGCCATTCTGTAAAGTTTTGAAATTTTTGAGTTTTTGAATTTTTTTGGGCACCTTAAAAAATTTAAATTTCACTCAAAGTGGGTGGCCACATGTATTCTAAACTATTCTGTGAAGTTTTGAAATTTTTGATTTTTTGATTTTTTTTGGCACCTAAAAAAATTTAAATTTCACTAAAAAGTGGGTGATCACAGGTATTCTAAGCAATTCTGTGAAGTTTTGAAATTTTTGATTTCTTGATTTTTTTTGAAAAAATTCAACAAATTTCCTATTTTCCCGAAATCTAAATTTTTTTATTTTCTCGACATTTTGATGATTTTTTCTGGAATTTTTCAATTTTTTGGGATTTTCTGAATTTTTTTAAAGATTTTTATGAATTTTTCTGATTTTTTATTATTTTTATTCCATTTCTAAAAAAATGGATTTTTGTTCCTGTAAATAGAATTTTCTGTTGTTTATCAAACGGGTTTTTATTTCAGGAAATAGAAATTTTGTGCTGTTATCAAACGGGTTTCTGTTCTAGAAATAGAAATTTTTTGTCATTATCAAACGGGTTTCTGTTCTAGAAATAGAAATTTTTTGTCATTATCAAACGGGTTTTTTTTCTCAGAAACTCATCCAGGAACCAGAAATAGAAAAATCTATTTCTGGTTCAGTAACTCATTCCGGAACAGAATGGTTATCATTCGCTACCTAAGTTTCCAATGATTAGTGGTTTGTGAGGATGTCTACTGGTTCATCTAATTCACCGTCTATTACTTCGGGGTTGGGCTCCTCTAGTACTTCTTCAAGTTCAGTATCGTTTGGTTCATATTATAGTATGACTAATCTGCACAATACCTTGATCAAGTTGGACGGTACCAATTACCCTTCTTGGTCGATGGCTCTTTCGACTTTTATTTATTCTAATCGCCAGTCTAGATGGCTTGAAGAAGAATCACCTGCAGATTCAGCTAGTCTAGAAGAATGGAAGTACGTAGATGCTACTTTGCGTACACTTTTATGTGGAAGTATGGCTGAATCTATTCGTCATCTTTTCATGGATTGCACTACAGCCCGTGAGATATAGACAAAGTGTGCTTTACTGTATTCTGGCCAGAATAACATGAGTCGAATTTGTGACATGTGGGAGGCTTTATTTGAAGCCAAAATTGGTGATGCTAGTTTGGCAGAACATTATGCTCGTTTTGCATCTTTGCATCAGCGCCTCAAGTCTTATTTTCCACCTGCTACCACAGTTACTCAGATGCAGCAACGAGAAACGGACATGATAACCGTGCTCTTTCTTCGTAGCCTTGGTCTAGATCATAGTGCTCTTCGTCAACAGATTACCTCTCAGAGCACTCTTCCTTCCATTGAAGAAGTGTATTCTCGAGCTGCTCGTTACACTTCCAGTCCCAAGACTTCAACAATTTCATATAGTAGTGCTATGATGGCTCGTGGAGGTCAAGGGACTCGTGGTCGTATTAACGGCCGTGGACAATGGAATTCTGATAGTTCTTACCGTGGTCGTGGTCGTGGTTTTCAAGGCAGAGGTACCGCTCGTGGTGGTGGTAGTAATACTTCTAGAGGAGCACGTGGTGGTGGTCGAGCGATCCGTTTTTGTACTCATTGCCAGCTTTCTGGGCACACTGTTGATTATTGTTATGACCTCCATCCTGAACTGCGGGGTCTACATGCTTCTATTGATACTAAGCCTAGGACTCCTTCCCTTGGATCTTCTTCTGGACTGGGTACATTACAGTTGACTCGTGCAGAATATGATGAGTTGGTCAGAGCACGACAGAGTGAGAGTGGTGCTGTCTCTGGTCCTACTGCTACTTTAGCACAGTGTAATGATCCTATATGTCTATTGTCCAGTACAGCTCCTCCTCGTTCTTGGGTTATTGATTCGGGTGCCACTCATCATATGACTGGTGATCCTCGTCTTCTCACATCCACCTCATCTGTTCCTTCTATGTCAGTCACCTTAGCAGATGGTTCTTAATCCAAAGTTACTGGTACAGGTTGTGTATCATTGAGTTCCTCTGTCTCCTTACCTTTTGTTTACCATATTCCACACTTTCCTTACAATCTATTATCAGTCAGTTCTATTACTCGTGATCTTGATTGCGATATTATCTTTTCTTCGTCTTCATGTGTTCTTCAAGATCGGAAGACTGGACGCCGAATAGGTGGTGGGCGTGAAGCTGGTGGATTGTACATCCTGGAACCTGAGATTATCGTTGCTGCTACAACAGTTCAGAATAAAGCTGTGGATGATCCTTATCGATTACATTGTCGTCTTGGTCATCCATCAGCAGACATAGTCCGACGGTTTCCTTTCGTGTCTAGTTCAAGTCTTCAGTTTAATTGTGAAACGTGTCAGTTAGGTAAACACCATCGTGAGTCTTTCTCTCCTCGTGTTTTGAGTCGTACGTCACATCCATTCGAGTTAATTCACTCCGATGTGTGGGGTCCTAGTCGAGAGTCTTCATTTGGTTTTCGGTATTTTGTCACTTTTATTGATGATTGTACTCGTACAACTTGGTTATATTTAATAAAAGATCGACTGAAGTTTTTCAGTCTTTCTGCCAGTTTTATCATGAAGTACGTACGCAGTATGATTGTTCTATTAAGTGTTTGCGTACTGACAATGCTCGTGAGTACTTTTCTTCATCTACCTTTATTCCGTTTCTCAAATCTCATGGTATTTTA